GAGGCTTTTCTGCATGGTACTCCGGAGCAGGTCAAAAGTGCACCTTCTGGGCTGGCCAACAGGGCTTAGCGTGAGGGTCCTGCTCCCACCAGTGCTGAAGAAACTGCATGTGTTTTAACAGTGGGAAGGGAGGCCGTGAGTTTGCCTCTGTCCTGAGCAGGGTCTCTTTGCTCGCTCTTCCTCTGCTTCAAGCGTTGCTTTCCCAGGGGACGGGAGGAGACGCCCTCCTGCCAAATGTTGGGGGAGCCTTTGCTCTGGTTCCTCACACTGGCATTCTTCCCTCGCCAGCCAGCCTCTCTGACTGCAACCTGGGCAGAAGCGACTTGTCCTCCTGCAGCAACAGGGGGCCTCCTTCGGCCGTGCCAGAGCCTTGGACCCTCACGCTGCACGGGGTGGCGCTGGCGGCCAACCCCCAGCAGCATCATGGAAGACCCATGCGCCCTCCCAAATGAACAGGCAGCATCACCTTGGTGCTAAACCTTGTCTGCGCATGTCCAAATGCACCAGAGTTAGGGCCGGCATCTACAGAAATGAAACAAACGGTAGGAAAACTCAGCAACAAACCCGGAAGTTTCGGCAGAATCAAAACCCAAAACACGTGCAATGGAAACCTTTTGGACTGATGCACACAGTCCCCAAACGCCCTCGACTGAAGGTGCTGAATCTCCCAGGGGTGGATCCCAAAGCCATGGAGCCAAAGCCAAGAAGATACTCTGAGAAGGGCCACGCAGGGCCACGCCTAATCACGGGGAGGGTCCTCGGGGGAAGAGGGCGTCTTCCAGAGACGCTGGGCCCAGACCTTATCGGGTGGTTCTGCTAAGCGCCAAGCGCAAGAGACGGGCACAGAGTTCTCGATGCCTCGGTCCCGCTCTCAGGCCCCCCACGTGCCAAATGCTCCAGCAGCCGGTCGGCTCGGTAAAAAGGCAGCCCGTGTGTCCTCTTCCAGCCAAGAACCAGCCTTGACAGCGATGAAACTGTACCGGTCCTCAGCGAGGCAGCTCTGAAATCGCTGACACAACCGGGAGACGGGAAAACCTTCTGCCACAGCCGCCCCCCCCCCCCCCCCCGCCTTGCGCGGCTGCTGTTTATTTGCATGCAAAGGGATGCAGCAGAATAAAGGCTCTAAGCTGAGAAGGGAAACGAAAACTACCCTCAGGGACCAGGCGCTGTTTAAAATAGATGGATGCACAAGTACACGCTCGCTCGCCATTATTTACAGCTTCTGAAAAAAACGCCCTCATAAAAAGCAACTTCTGCATAATCGTGCCATGCCTTTGAAGCACAACCCAGAGCTATAATTCCTGCTTTTCAGCCTATCGGCTTCTCAGCCCGAACCCCCTCTGCCCCAACGGGGACTTTTTGAAAAAAAGACAGCAGACTGCACTCTCCACGTCCAAAATCGTTTCCCCTAAATAATTTCATTATCCGCTGCCTACTCCAAAGGAAGTCTGAGCCAAAATTAAATGGCAAGGGACTATCTGTTAGCAGCAAAGCAGACCCAATTTTAAGAAATTAAAATGCAAGGCGGAGGTCCAGCGTTCTGGAAATGTCTACAGCGGTTCCAAAATTATACAAATGCACAGTAGACTTTTGGTTCCTCCAGACAACGCAAGACATTTAAGGCCGGGCAAGGAAAAAGGGCCTCAGTGATCATCTCACCCTGGTCTGCAAACCAGTTTTCCGGGAGGGCGTGTGTGTGCATGCGTGCGTGCATGCGTGTGTGTGAAGAAGGGGGGATGGGGGGCACACCAATCCTGGGGGCCCAGGAGCTAAGATACGCAGGGAGACTGCTGTGTAAGAAGAGGGAAGCCTAACTGGGGTAAGAGTGTGAATGTCAAACCCATCTGTGCACCACTGAACGAGTTTCAGGCTCTAAAGAACGAGGAGACCTTCATCTGCAAGAAGGGAGGTTCCAGAATCTGCTTCTTTCCGAAATGGTCTCAAAATACAAAATTGAAGGCTGGCAGAAGTGATGCTGGGAAAACAGCCGAAGGGGTCAGTTTTCTCCGGCAAACGTGCGGACCCTCCCCAGTCACACGTTACCTTCTTCCCTGACCGGGTTTGCAACAAGAAATTCTTTGCCACACGAAGGCCATTTGCACGTGGCGCAAGAGGGAGCAGAGAGTGGGGCCTGCGCCCCAGGCAACAGCCTTTTCCCAGCAAGATCGCTCCTCTCTTTCAAGGAACCGGGGTGCTTTCAGAACAGAAATTCTCCCCCCTCTTGGGAATGCAACAGGGAGGAAACCCTCCACCAAGGTTACTCAGTGGAAGGATCGGGATTCCGCGGGAACCTCCCTGTGTAGTGGAAAGAAGGTCCGCGCTTTCTGGTCCAGCATGCCTAAGAGACAGCAACTCTTCACAAATCCAGAGATTCAGAAGAAATGCAACCACAAGAGGAACTCGGTCATTTTTAAAACGTTGCCCTTCCGCTTTTCCTCTTGGCGGGGTTGTGACTGCACTGCCACCTTCCCACCTGTATTTCAGACTGGGGTGGCCACCGAGCCTAGCAAACATGAAATGTCTCAGGATTATGGTAGTGGTAGTGCACACACCGCAATGGAGCCAAAGATACTGCATTGTAGGATGTCCTAAATAGACCAGAGCAGTGTTCCTCAACCTTGGCAGCTTTAAGCTGTGTGGACTTCAACTCCCAGAATTCCCCCCCCCGCCCTTCTTGCTGGGGGATTCTGGGAGTTTGAATTCCCACAAACTTAAACCGGCAAGGGTGGGGGAAAACTCATTTGGCTTTTTTTGG